GCGCGCCGGCCTGGTAGTCGTAGAGGGCACGCGCGGTGTACCCGTCCTCCTCCTCCTCCCCGCCCTCGCCCTCCCCCTCGCCGCCCTCGCTCCCCTCCCACCCCACTGGTGACACCACGATGGTCGGCTGCCGGCTCTGACACATCGGTACAGTTTAGTTGCTATTATTCATATTTTAAATTACTTGGAGATTTTGAACTTTACGTGTACTATTCTTACATACATATGTCGCCCGCGATTCCGTCCGCGCGGAACGAAAAAATAAACTGAATTAAGATCAATGCAGCCATTCTGGAGATACCTTCAAACAAACATCCATCCATCCATCCAAACAATCGCATTCAATATAATTGTTTTATGGCTTTACAAAGCAGGTTTGACCTCACGATTTACTTATCTGCATGCATCTAATTTGAAATGTTGTAAATATGTAAATATAGATGTATAAAGACAACGCTTATTTCGCTATTTTAGCGAATTCAAGCGTCCTATTGCTCGTTTGCCACTTCTTGCTATAAAAAACTGTCCATAAATTAAGTTTTAAAATCTTTAAATAAAAAAAAGATGTTTACTCACCTCTTCTTTTTCTTCTTTATGTTCTTTTGCTTCTCCCACTAATGTTACATCTGGTAAGTTTGTTAACTTAACTTCTTCTTGACTCTGTACCTCTCTTACTTCTTTCTTCTCTATCTCTATCTTCTCTTCTATCTGTTTCACTGCTTCTGTAGTTGTTTCCCGCTGTATTTGTTTGGGAACTATAATTTTAGGTTCTTCTTTTTGTATTAATACCTGTGGTTCTTCATCTTTGTCTATGACTACTTTATCTTTTTCCTGTTAAAATAATCATTTGTTTAGTTTAATATTTCTTAAGTTAAAAATACGAATGTTTTTATCTTCTCTTACCTTCTGCGTTAACTCTTTGTCCATCAGCTGTCTCTCTTGTCTAATCTTCTGCACGGATTGTAGCGCCTCCTATATATATATTAGCAGATTTTATTTGTGAATTTACTAATATTTCTTTTACAATTCCAAGTAAGCTCTCGACTTGTATTAGAATATGGTTTACGACAATAGTCGAATGGCAAGATTCGAACCCCGACCTCGTGATCGGATATTCGTATCCTTAACCATTAGGCTATTGACGTTTTTAAAACACCAAAATACGTGTAATTTGTTCTTTGTATTAGTACAACTAATGACATTGTATTATGTCTTCCCTAAGTATAGATTAAAAGACGGCTCGAAGGACCAAAAAATATTTATAACCTAAAATAATCTTTGACAGTACTAATTAAATTGATTAGATATGTAGATCACTAATGTATGATAGCAGAAAGGCATAAGACTAGATTAATTAGGGGTTGAAATGATTAGGGGATGTTTATACCTGTTCCTTCTCCTTGGCCATGTTCTCAAACTTAGCACGTATAGAGGAAGGCTTCGCGCCGCCGATGTCAGGCTTCTGTTTGGTATAGTTGGTGCCCACTTTGCCTACTTCGTCGAATCTGTGCGCCGATTTGTCCACTCTGTCAGACTCCACACCGAATTTACCTCCGAAACCCTGCAAATAGAGATTAAGACGAAGTTAAGAAGCGAATTCGTGTTATATCACATGACGTATCTCCATGTCACACTACATGACACATATCTCGCACATGATGATGTATGACAGATGTATATGACACGGGGCTCACCTTCTTGTGGTCGAGCTGGCTGGCGTGTGCAGGCGCGCGCTCCACATGATCCCAGCCGAGGGCGGAGGCGTCCTGTCTGTCACTCTGCACACCAAACTTCCCACCGAAACCTATCGCATAATCTACAAACCAAACAACAAAAAAATACAGTTTGCTATGATAGTCGTTAATTACATCAATTTTTTTTTATAGGAAAAAAAAAACAGAAATGCATCTCATCAATTTCAAGTAAATTATACAAATTTGACACTAGGGTAGAACAGTGAGGAGTGTCACGCATACAGTACTTTTGTATATCTAGTTGTGTGTAACTGTAGTGTTTCCGTGTGAAAGTGTGAACCTGTCTGCGAGTGATGATGTTGCGGCGCCTCGTGGTGGTCCCAGCCGAGCGCGGCTGCGTCCTTGCGGTCACTCTGCACACCGAACTTGCCACCGAAACCCATCGCGTAGTCCTTCTGAGATGAATGCTTCGCCACCTCCTCCTTGTGCTCCCACCCTGCTGCACTCTGGACAAATTACCCTTGAAAAATATTGCAGTTCCATATCCTCGTTTATACAAATTCGACAATATTTCATAAGCTAAAGATTGTATTGACCATTAACAATAACTCAAAATATCCCAAAAACATAATTTGACAATTAACCAAAAACAAACTGGATAGTTTTAATTCTAGATAGGATAGAAATCTATCCATTATTTTGACAAGCTAAAAACTATAAAATTATGTTATTATCAAGTATCCAGACCTTATCAACTCTGTCAGTCTGGACGCCGTACTTGCCGCCGAATCCCTGCGCGTAGTCAGTCTGAGACACGTGTTTCTCCACCTTGCCCACGTAGTCATGTCCCACCGCGGACTTATCCATCCTGTCACTCTGTACCCCAAATTTACCTCCGAAGCCTACAGAAGTGACACAAAAGAGACATCACATTATGAACACCCTGTATAATATTTAAAAAGGTCATTGACATTAAAAAAAATATAAAAGCTAGTGAAATTAGTATTATATTATTTTTATAATACTATTTTAAGATAAATGCTATACATTAAAATATAATTTACTAGAATTTTCAGTAACAAAACAGAGAATAGCTGTTCGAGATTCCGTCCGCGCAGAAAAAAAAATTGTCACAGATGTAAAACATAGTCTGGAAGAACACATTGACTACTAATTATAGTAGTACTAGTACTAACTATAGTATAATCTTAAATATAAAATTCTCGTGTCACAATTTTCGTTCTCATACTCCTCCGAAACAGCTTGACCGATTCTCATGAAATTTTGTGAGCATATTGAGTAGGTCTGAGAATCTGCCAACATCTATTTTTAATACCGCGTGGACGGAGTCGCGGGCGACAGCTAGTAGTACTATAATTAGCAGTCTATATGTTCTTCCAGACTATGTTCTACATCTATGCCAAATTTTAACCAAAATCCATGCAGTTGTTCTAGAGATACCTTCTAACAGACATCCATCCATTTAAAATTCGCATTTTTAATATTAAGATGTTACAATTTTCAGAGGGAATGAGACAGCAATATGTCTGTCTCTCGTCAGTGGAATTGCAAATGATATGATAACATACCTTGAGCATAATCTTTCTGTGAGACATGTTTCTCAGTTTTGCCAACATAATCATGACCCACCGCTGATTTGTCCATTCTGTCTTCTTGTACACCAAATTTTCCACCATATCTGAAATAAAAATTATTGAATAATCAAAACAAGCTCAGAGAACTCTAGTACTATGCAACAATGTGTCGAGTTTACTAAGAAATTTTATACCTATTTTTTACTTTTATTACTTAATATTTGTTACAACTTATATATATATATATATAAATGTATAATGTGAGTTAGTTACTATACACATTAAAAACATAATTTTCTTTCAAATTATGTCAAAGTATAAATCTTCATGGTCCTAAAGAGTTTTTATTACTTTAAATAAAAACTAAAAATACAGTGAAAATGAGCAAAATAACTATGTTAATATATAAGTAGGTTGAATTCATATATATCTTTGAATTTCTTCTTAGATATATGCATTATTTTCTTCACCGTAAGAACACCGGATAAATGTATGAAAAACATATTTACCCGAAAGATGGCTTTGGTCCCTGTTCATATTGTTTCTTCTTTATTTCCTTATCTTCCTCCAGCACTTCCTCTCTCAGTCTCGCCATACTGTCAAAAATTATATATATAACTTAAAAAATATTCTGTACAAGTTTTTTCATCATCATCATCATCAGCTCACTATACGTCCCCACCGAGGGGCTCGGAGCCTACACTAAGTTAAGGGTGGTTAGGCCATAGTCAACCACGCTGGCCAAGTGCGGGTTGGTTGACTTCACTCATATCTTTGAATATCTTCTCAGATATGTGCAGGTTGCATAACGATGTTTTCCTTCACCGTAAGAACGTCGGAAATGTACATATGTAAATCGGAAATCGAATATAACATTGGTACATGGCGGGATTCGAACCCAGGACCTGCTGATTGCAAGTCAAGTGCTTGACCACTGAGCCACCGACGCTCATATATATTATACAAATATAAAATTTACTTAGTTTGCTATAAATGTTAAGATACCTTTTGTTTACAAAAATTGTTTTGAAACTGGTCATTATTATATTAAGATGTCTTAGTAATTGTCACATTAACTATATAAACTATAGAAAGGGCATATGAAACAAAGGGATGTTTACATTGATTCGTGATTCACTGTCATTGTGATTCACAGATATCCTGTATAGTAAACAGTACAGACAGGTCAAATGAGTTCAAAAAGGGGATTGTAGAGTGGGCAAAATTAATGCTCATTTCCACTGAGCCAGTTCCATCATCAACTATACGTCACCACTGAGAGGCTCATAGTAAACCACACTGGCCCAATGCGGGTTGAATTCACATATATCTTTGAATTTCTTCTCGGATATATGCAGGTAGCATCACGATGTTTTCCTTCATTGTAAGAACATCTTATATAAATAAAATTGTTATATGGCAGGATTCTAGCCCTGGACCTGCAGATTACAAGCTTTAATCCCTGAGCCACTGATTTTCTTACTTACCAGCTATGGTTAACTTTTATTTTGTACAGTAAAATTTGTCAGTGGAAATAGAGCATATGGCAATTGTAAAACCTTAAACTTTATTATAATAAAACATAGTAAATCTTATTTATTTTCCTTATACAAAAACTTTTTGAATATCCTGTTAATCCAAACTTGCTTTGCACTATCGCGTCATTAATTACAAAGCTATATTTATTACTATCTGAAGCCTACAACTTCGGTCATGCGAAATTAAAAAAAAAATCTATAAATAATTATTGTCTATGTTACTCACTGATAATATAACTTTCTAATACAGTTTTTTTTTAATTGATTTATTTAATTAATGATACATACATACAACATAAATCTTTCCTCTTTATAATATTAAAAGAATTTAAAATTATCAAAGATAGCGGTAATGTTCATTTCTATTTATAAAACTATCAAACAATAAAAAGAAGCTCCAATCAAAAAGTAATTAAGAAAAATAAAATGATAATTTCATATCCATATCTGACGATTGAAAAATTGTTGTTGATAAAAAAACATACTCTTTTGACCAAAGACGCAAACAAGGTAACTTTCATTTGGTTTGGTATATTCCTAACAAGCATATTCTGTATGTACAATACTGTAGTTTCTTCATTATGTCCAAAGTACTTACTCAATAGCCTCCACGTTCCTGCCACCAGGTCCCCATCTCTGTTCATGTTCACTGACATCATTCACAAAGTCAGGGTCTGTCTCCCAATCATCAGCCTCCGCTGGTGCAGGAGCTGTTACATCTGTTGCAGCTTTCCACATCTACAACCAGATTTATAGTAAGTTTCCGCTGCCATATACGTGGTTCATGCAGCATAGTTGTTGTTGTCATTCCAAAGATTATAGAGTTGACTATATTTTGTGGAGAAAACTGTACATTTAATTGTATAATTTACCATATGTAACTGGTTAGTACTTTTATTTTGAAGCAAATGTTTTGTCAAAACAAATACTACTCAAACAATTCATAATTACTTGCATTCTAAGAAAATCAAATTTATATTTATGAAGAATTTTTATGAAAATTATTCAAACGAAAACATCTCTTACATTTGATATGTTATCTTGTCAAAAAGATTATAATTTTCATGTGTAAAAATATTACTCAGTTCAATATTTTTAGCAAAGACTTGAACAATAATGAAGACCTCTGTTTCACAATTTAAAACAATTAAACAATCTTTCAATTTACCTTAAAAGCCGGTTCTGAATAGAAAACAACAAGTGACTCCCGTAGAGTACGTGTGTTTAGTTAAATATCATTCACTTTAAACCACAGGAAATTTTCGAACAAATATCTTGGTTAAACGATACAACTTTATTCACTTATTTATGCAAGGGAGGAGAAAGTTTTATGTTATCAAAGGAAATAAATGATTCCTCAATCGCTATGCGTCATTGAATAAATCGTCATGTCAATGTCATGTCAAAGTGTAAAATTGTCAAACGTAAACTGACATTAAAACTTTTTATAAACAACGGAAATTATACCGCTCTGCATTTGTAATTGTGAAAAATTTAACTAAATTAAAAAAATCTGAGAACTACTCCAAATAGCTCTAAAACAACTTTACATAATGCAGATATTAGTTAAAGAGCCGGTGGAAAGTCGACCTTCACGTATCAAATGACACATATTTTTTATCGAATACAATCATTTGCCCGCGGCTTTGACTGTGCAGAATTAAAAAAGTCGCAGTAAAAATAATTCCGTGATTTAATCAAATATTTCAAAAAAGTTGAGCGTAGTTCTAACTTTTAAAAAATAAATATGTTGTCCCTTTCGTTATAAGGTTACATTGTTGGGATTTTGATGAACAAAAGTAAACTATTAATGTGGCCCAGCTATAGTTCGTTTTTACTTTTATGCTCACCGGTCACCGGATCAGAAATCCTTGTCGATCAGAAATAAGTGCAATCCTTGGTTACACAGCAAAAAAAAACACAATTTTATTTAATATTTATTTACATTTACAAGTTTGTTTAAAATTCAGCTAAAATCGATTATTTCCTGAAATACAAACACTATTTGGTTACTTTAATAGATACAAGAAGCAAGCATATCTCTTGGACTTGGACAGCATCAGAGCATTATTGAATTTTAAGATGCTTGCCGGCGGAACCAGCAATTTGCGATAGCACTCTTGTGGCTACAATACGACAGATAAAAATAATAAAAGGTTGATGCTTGCTGCATGTTCCATAACTTATTTTGGCAATATGTTTGCATTTACTTGCATTAATTAAAATTTAAATATATTCAATTTTCGCCTAATCCCATTTTTAACTTATAATGACCAAAGAAATGTTGTATGGTCGTGTTGGCAGAATATGTTTCACATTACAATAGGAAATATAAAAAATACTATGCTAATTTTTTTAAAGTAATTCGGAAATCGTGAAAATTAGAAATGATTGTTTTCGTTTACCCTTTGATTAAATATTCTGGCGATACAAAAGTTCTCTTGAATAATTAATTGAGCTGACCTTTATAATAAATTCCAATGTCTAAATGCACAATTTAGCTAATCAAAATGTTACAAAAGACAACTAATATTAGTGCCCAGACCAAGCAGAATATTTACCTAATACTTTTTACAATTCATGCACAATGGCACGAGACCTTAATCCGATGACGTCACAGCTTGTTTGGTAGAAAAAGTTTCGCATTTAATATTCGTAAATTTTTACGCCCCATAATCCATTAAGTACTAATTTCAGGATCAGGTGCGTCGATCGCGTAACCAAATTTCTGCAAAGCTGTTTTGATTTCCTTAAAAACTGAGGCATCTTCGATAGTCGGTGGTAGCCTAACCAGCTGAGACCTGGCGAGCTTCGCGATAGCACCTCGTAGTGCTTTGCCGGACCTGGTGCGGGGTAGCGCGGGAACTGCAACCGCTTTCCGGAATGATGCGATTGGCCCGATTAGGTGCCGTACGAGAGCTATCAACTCTTGTGTTACTGCGCTTTCCTCTACCATCTCCTCATCTGTTGAGATATGGGTAAATATACAATTATTAGCAAGATAGCATAAAAAGATTTGTTATAGGAAGTGGCACCTAGGATTATTGGACTTTCCTGGATAGTATCTAGTCATTAGTAATTTCAAGTTCATTATTTACCATCTTGCGGTGGTCTCATGACGTACAAGCACAACGGGACATCGCCCTTGGTAGGATCCGGCGCGCCCACAACTACGGCATCGGCGACGCGCGCATGCTTGAGTACAACGTCCTCGAGCGCGGCCGTTGACAGCCGGTGGCCGGCCACGTTGATGACGTCATCGGCGCGCGCCACCACCCACACGGCGCCCTCTGCGCTCACCCAGCCCGCGTCTTGCGTGTCGTAATACCCCTGAGCACGAAAAAGTGACGGTTCTTATTTAAATACTCTAGCAACGTGGACTAACTGTTGTATTATTGTCATTATAAATGAATACATACTGGATAAGTTTCGAAGTAGACCTTCTTGAAGCGGTCATCGGCCTTCCATAGAGTTGACGCGAAGCCGGGAGGCAGCGGCAACTTGAGCGCCAATCGGCCCACCTCGCCGCGGTGGCATTCCGTGCCGTCCTCGCGCAGAGCACGCACTAAAATAGGTAGCCATGATACATATTTGGTAACAACGTTGTACCAAATAGTTACCTCAGTTTTTTACCAAATTGATTATGTTCTGCAAACGCCTTTGCTAAAGTAGTCTGAACATAGATCGCTAATATTTGTCTTCTACTATAAACCCAATATCCTAATTACTAATATTCAAAGTTGGCCTATTGGTCTATTCGGTCTTTTCAGTCTGCTCACCGTCATATCCGGGCACCGGATATCCAGCGGAGTGCGGGGGCACACATTGCACGCCGTAGCCAAGGCAGGCGGCAGTGATGGGTGAGCCGGTCTCCGTCTGCCACCAATGGTTCAGTACCGGAACGTTTAGGATTCTCTCAGCCCATATCTACAATAACAATTTAGTTACCACATTATCTTATACAGCGAATTTACAATAATTTCCTTAAGTAAAAGCCGTAATACATTTTTTTTTATCAAGTCATTGTAACATTGTAATTACAATTGGTAATTACAATGATACCGTTCAGTTGTTAGATATGTAAATAATTAAACAGTTCAATTGACCCTTAATCTCGACGTTCACTTTGTTACCCGTTAAGAAAATTGGTTATGGAATGGACAAAATTACTTATTACAATTGAGGTCCTAATAAAAATAGTAAAAACGCCGATATGCGGACAGATAGACAGACAAAAATATAAAAAATAGAATAGAATAAGAAAATTAAATAACAACATTCTAAACCGATTTTGACAATACACCAATAAAAAGCTTCAATAAGCAATTAAGATAAGATCTAGAATCGTGCGGCAAGTTGCTTAGTGTAAAATAACAGGATTAGGGATTGGAGCAAGTAGCCAGCCTCTGTTTTTCCATCCAAATATGATGTTGGGACCTTCAAAAGTAGAGTGAATAGGCACTTACCATCTTTCGACCAAATCTCCACTAACACCAGGTGGGATCGTGGTCAAGCGTTGGCTTATAAAACGTAAAAAAAAATTAAGGAGTATCAAAGCGTACCCTAGTATCCTGATCGCAGTGTTCTCCAGCAATGAAGACTGTCTTCAAAGTCTTGCTGCAGTAGCGACGCGAGTACTTGGCATTGGGGTCCACTCGCTTCAGCACGCGGAATGCAGTCGGAATAGTGAATAACGCATTCACACGATGCTGTTCTATTATCCTGCGAGACAGAGTAATGGACATAGCTTTGAAGAATCACTCTGAATAACTAGAAGTCGAATTCGCCTATGATATGGGCATCAAAATCTTACTGTCTTTTCTTAATAATTGTATTTATTATGCTTTTTTTTAACTTCTGTTTTAGGTCTTATTTGTTTTCTGTCTGAATTATGTGGTTAGTACCGAACAACATAAGTACAACTAACCTAAAATACTGTCCCGGATCAGGCGTTCTGTCAGGTTTGCCTTCATACAGTACAGAGGTAAGACCGGCGAGCAGAGGTCCGTAGCAGATGTAAGAGTGTCCGACCACCCAGCCGAGGTCAGAGGCGGTCCAGCACACGCCCTTGCTGAGGCCGTAGACCGCGTGCATTGTCCAGCATAGAGTAGCCGCGTGGCCGATAGGTCGCTGTATCCCTTTAGGGTCATCGGTTGTACCTGCGACAATATTCATACGTTAGATTCATTACTTGACATAACGTGAAAAGAACGTCAGTTTGAAAACGTTTTTAAACAACAATGATTGATAAAGAGGATTAAACCCTTAAAAACTTTTAATCGGTGCTTATTTATTTCTCCCAGTATGCTGAAATCCGGGTTCTTTATCCACCAAAAACATGATATTAGAATAATCTATAACCATCAAAATATCAATTAAAATTTCTAGGTGCATACTCCGCTAGCAATGGGTCATCAACATTGACCTGTATTCCTAAATGCTTGTTACCTGAAGTATACAATATGTACAAGGGCTCATTAGCTTCTAGAGATACGCAGGGCGCAGGTTCAGCATCCATAGCACTGTCCCAGCAGACATCGCGGCCGGACTCCAAAGAACACTCGAGTACTCGCCGTCGTTGGTAGACGACACAGGCGCGCGGCTGGTGAGAGCTCTGGCATAGTGCCTCGTCCAAGATATCTTTGTATCTGCATCAAGTAAGATATGACATCATAATTAATGTATTTAACTCATTTGAGCTTTTATAAGTAATTTATTTATCTAAATAAAGAAATCGAGAAATCAAATAGTCAGGATTGCACCATAAATAATCAGGTACTTTCGGTTTATGACTGTTCCAATTGTACGTTTTTTTTTCAATACTTTGTATGTGTGTATTACTTCACACGGAAATAAAAGAATTAGGTCGCGGTTAATATTTGAATACAGTAAAAAGTAATTTACAATGAATGCAACTTATTTTATTTAACATTAATTTCATTAAAATATTCTTCGTCATTTTCCTTGCAAAATGAAAAGTAACTTTCGATTTTATTTCGATATAGAATGATAGAAATACTTCTTCGTGAAATATTCTCGAAAACAAAACAACTATACCGTAATAATATAAATTGAAAAAAATTAAAGACGAGCTGCCATTGGGCGTCGCTAAGTGGGCGGAGTAAATACAGCTGCGAAGGAATCGAACAAAAATAGACACAAAAAAAGTACTTGTAAACATTATACAAAAAACCTTCCAATAACTATAGAATTAAATAATAACTCAATAAGTACTTGTTAGTTCTTTCCATTCCTAAATAATAAACGTTACATTTGGAATATATTAAAAACTTTCTATTTACCCGCCTATACCCGCTGGATCCAACATAGATCTGCTGGTGACGCCTTAGCTTACTAACATAAATTGGTCTTACGAACCATATAAACAGAAGATAAACGTGCTATTAGTCTTTATTTTTAGTCCATTTATAGACCATACGTTCGATGTTATTATGTATTTAAGATCTTTTTTTATATAAAGTTCTCGTGTCACAATTTTCGTTACCATACTCCTCCGAAACGGCTTGACCGATTCTCATGAAATTTTGTGGGCATATTGAGTAGGTCTGAGAATCGGCCAACATCTGTTTTTTTTATCCCGCACGGGCGGAGTCGCGGGCGACAGCTAGTATGTATATGGTAAATAATATTGTGTTGCAAATTACCTTACTATTTTGTTAGGCTCAACGCCACAACTTGCGGCTATGATGACTGTTGGCTCGGCATGCTCTATACGAGTTCTGAGCTCACGCGCCGCAAAACCTGGCAAGTTAGAACATATGTAAGTTAAAAGGAAGAAACCATAGTACGGCATTAAGTAAGTTTTAAATGTCATGTCATAATCACTATGAAATTAGTATTGATTTCCCGTGTCTTGTGAGATCAGTGGATTCAACAAATATAAGAAACAAGTAAATATTATATAAGATACAGTCTAGGAATAGAAAGAAAGCTATCGATAATCGGAGGGGTTTATAGGTACAAAGAAAGGATATAAAGTAGATCGTCTTTTTAATAATAAAGATTGATAGAATATTGTATTTTATTGAAAGACGTTACAGAACTCAACGGGGATTTTTGGTGAATTAGTGACCAATACAGTAGAGCTTCGCGATGTATACAACTCACCTCCGAAGACAACGGAGTGTATGGCTCCGATTCTAATAGTAGCCAGCATTGCGATCACCGCCTCCGGAATGAGGGGCATGTAAATGAGCACACGGCTGCCGCGCTCCACACCCAATGACCGCAACTTGCCAGCCAGCCTCGACACCTTCGGACACAACATATGGCTACTAAGAATATCGAGTAGTAAGAAAAGCTTTATTACTGCGAATTGGGTTCCAAAAAATGGTTCTTTTCCTTGCTTTCTTCCTGCAGTGGACCCTGGTATTCACAATTTGATCCGCTTTTGTTTTGAGTCAAGTTCAATGTTGATGAATTCTTAAAGACAAATCGCTATCTTCTATCCTTGTCTAGCAATACTAATCCAATAAGCGGTTTGACATGAATCTGATACATAGTTTAATCTTATTTCGTTCCGTTCTTATACTCACTGCAGGATTGAGCCGAGATTGGTTTATTTTGCATAGCCGGTTTAAGCATTTCCAACGGCCTGGACGAATTTTTTACGGCTCCCCCATTTGACAATGTCGGGAGAAATCTTCTAAAAATATGGTATCTTAGGGACAGAGGCGGCTGCGGTGGCCCCTTATACCCAGCGCCCTGGGCGGTCACCCCACTTCACTTTACCCTAACGCCGCTACCGTAGTCGGTTCCGCTCTTTTCGTATGGTGTAACAAAAGCTCACCTGATCCAACAGCTCAGCATAGGTGATCCGTCGTACGGTATCGGTAAGCGGTGAGTCATGGACGAGCGCGAGTTGTTCCCCGCGCCCCGCCAACACGTGCCGGTCCACTGCGTTGTAACACACCGACATCTCTCCGCCGACCCACCTGCAGGCATTTTAAGGCATAGAACCTTCGAGTACGCAATTAGCCGAAAATATTCTATCCTTAAGGTTGATCCGGAAATTATTTTAACAACCAATAAATCTTTATTTTCGATTTTGATATTATAGAGATTTGTGTTTTTTGTGCTTGCGTCTTCGTTACATCCATTGAAAGTTAGAATATAATCTGTCTACGAAGTGGTTTACATAGGAGACAAACATTTTTATATTATTTAGATAAAATATTTAGCTTCATCCAGTTTTAAATCACAGCATATACTTGCCATTTGGTGAAAGGTGGGTTGGTGTTGTCTAGAACGCGGTCCCATGGCTTGGTCCAGACCAGCTCATGTCCCACTTCCGCCCAAAATCCCTCAGGGTCCTCCAGGGATCTGCGGTGAGCTAGTACATATTCCTTTGTCACTCCACTATCGCCTGTATACAAAGAATTCAAATAAGATGAATTAACAAAAAACAATCCTTATAATAAAGAGCGTCGGTGGCGTAGTTGTTAAGCTCTTGACTGGATCGTAATATAAAGCGTCCAGGTTTGATTCCCGTCATTCAAATGTGTTTTCCAATTTTTATATTATAATATATGTACATATATTCGACGTTCTATCGTTGAAGAAAATCATCGTGATGCAACCTGCACATATTTGCAAAGAAATACAAAGATATGTGTAAAGTCAACCACTGGACCAGTGTGGTTGACTATGGCCTAGTTACCGCTAAATTTGGTATGGTCTGAGCCCGTCTGTAGGGTACATATAATGGGGATAATGGGGACAAATGGGGATATCTCTCAATATTTTTGAAGTAAACATTTTTCCAGAGACTAGTTTCTCTCTGTTGGCATAAGATTATAATAAATGGATATTAGTGTAATTTACCATCCATATACATTTATTTATCAAAAATAGAACACCACCGCCTGCGGAATCCCATGACTCAAACAACCAGGGCTACAGAGACAGGAACCTTCTCACGATGCGCGCGGTTTCTAGGATAACTTTTGTATCGGGTCCTTAATCCAACTGTGTAGCGAGAGCTTCTCGAGATGTTGTTCGAAGCTCTTCGCTATCAGTCCATTTACCGATACGACTATCAGAATAATGGTAGTCGATTTCATACGCCACATGGCGGTGACCTCGTGAGCCAAATGTAGGTATTTTAGCTTAGTGTAATTATTATTATAACGTATGATAACAAATCTATTAGAACTTTATTTGTGTTGTTTAATGAATTCAGTGGACATGAGAAATTATATTATACCAAAACTAAACCTAGCTAAATAATCTTTATAAGGCTGTCAGACTTAACGAAAACAGACATGTTTGTATCATCAATTAACATACGGAAATATTTCAAAATAAGTGTCATTGTCAGCCAGTGAGTGATATTTTCATTGAATTCGACTATTCATGTGAAATGTTATAAAATTTCCATAAAAACTTATTTTAATTTTATTTGGAATAAATTGTCCCACGTAATTGTATTAAATCCTTGAAATTTATTTAATATTAGCGTTAGTCGATGATATGCCTTACAACACGGAACAAACGCTCTTGCGAACAGAAAAAAAATTCAAAAATGTTTTTTTCGTTACAAGCAAAACAAATACATAATGTGTCCGAAACATTTATATATTCTTAAGACTCCGTCCGCACGAAATTAAAAACAAACATAGTAAGCCTACGTGTTCTACATCTATGCCAAATTTCAGCAAGATCCATGCAGCCATTCTGGAGATACCTGTTATAAGGTATCTCCAGAATGGCTGCACACATCCCTCCATCCATCATCGAAACATTCGTATTTATATAATAGTAAGAAGGAGTAAGAAGAATAAGAAAATACTGTTCTCTCTTGTAAGGAGTTTGAATTGTAAATAATTCTATTCCCACTATTGGGTGGTTATGTTAGCTTCTTATGAAAGAAGTTTACTATTGAGCGTAAATATGGCGTGCCTATTTCGTAGTATCAAACATTTTCTGTTCCTACAACCGTTGAACTGTTGGATTACTAGTTATATTCTACTCACCATAGCTCTCTATATCTGCCGCGGTTACAAAGGTCTTCTTCTTGAGTTCACTGATCGATGATTCGAATTTGTTCTTCTGTAAGCCAGTGATGCCTTCATCTGCCTGATACATGATCCTGGCTGCGCAAACCTAGCCCGATACTGTCGCCTACTGCACGTAGCTCGCCGAAACTGTCGCCTACTGCCCAATGCTCGCCCGATACTGTCGCCTAGTACACGAACCGCGCCCGATACTGTCGCCTAGTACATGAACCTCGCCCGATACTGTCGCTTAGTACACGAACCTCGCCCTATACTGTCGCCTTCTACACTGCGCAGTCTTTGCCTTCCTCCACTGATTTTGTTCATTAGCATTGCCGCATTTCAATGAATCCAACCTCTGAACTCGATAACAATCGCTTGGATTCAATACTCCGGCACGTGTATTTCCTCCCCTAAGATCCAGCAAAGAATTGATAACAACAACTGATTGCACTGTTATTTAAATTATTCTTCTTCTCATATTTTCATGTGAATAGTTTTCAATAGTAAATTACTTTTGTTGTTTATTCAGATTTGCTGGTAGATAAAAATATACGCTTTTAACTTTTGCATAAATAAATATAAAAATGTATAAGTAAAAAAAATGTAAATATAAAAATATACCCTATCCTAAATACATTATATTAAAAGTGACATTGTCTGGATGTCAGTTTTCTTATATGCATTGACATATATTTTTTTTAAATTTTTCTTTTAGACCAGAACAACTGCAAGTTCAAAGGAACTAAAAGGAACTGTGGATGGAGTGCCGGCTTAAGGATACATTGTGTTCGAAAAGGATCTTGTAAGTAACTACCACTTTTTAAACATTTATAGAGAGTTGAAATGGGTTATCGTAATTTTTTTTTCTATTATATTCACCGAGCCAGATAAGTTAGCCAGACTATAAATACTCTAAAGCGCATAGACACAAAAGCTCCCTTCCAGTAAAAGCCTGATCAAAATCGGTCCAGTGATTACCACGACTACAAAGAAGACAAGCGTGAAGAGAAAGTTAATTTCACATTTCGTTTGATGAATGTGCGTGCTGGAGGACTTTTTGATATTCTTCCTATTCCCATCTTATTCTTGAAAGAACGGGGTGCGAAGGGGAAGAGGATTTGACGGAGAAGGGTTCAAATAGGAAGGGGAAATATCCTCTTTCTTTGCGTTCCGTCGTCTGTCGATTAAAAGTAGGCATTGCATCTGCAAATGCGATTGTCTATAGGTAGCGGTCGCTTCGCTATTAGTAAATTTAGTTACTTGCTCTTTTACTATTTGATATTAAAAAAAACACAATGGTATGGAAAATAATATTTTAAAAGAAATTGGATCACATCAGCAATTTTAATGTGTTACATATTATAACACTAACTGCGTAGTTTATTTTTATAGGTTAAACTTTCAGGAAATAAATAAACCTAGACTAGAATTTTATAGTAGCAAAAATTTGTAGTTTTCGGAAAAATATAAAACTCATAAGAAGGTTCCGTTAATCAAAATATTATTTTATCTATTAATTAAATCGTTATTACTCAGAAAATAAATATAATAAATATATGTGATATCCCTCCACTTCTCTTTTCGAGTGTCACTTGATTCCCAAAATAAATATAATATATAATAAAAAATTAAAACTTTTTAATTTTTAAATAACAATAAACAGTTTTGTGTAACTTCTTTTAGTTCACGTTTTAATAGCGTTTTTCGCTTGTGTTTCTACGTATCTTGTGAATATAAAATTTCGTAAAAACTTCTTCTTCTAGTGTCTCTTCAGTCTTGAAGGTTTGCCACTAACTCTGAATATTTAGTTCTGTCAAGTGCAAGGCGATACAGTTCCATCGCTGACCTAATCTTCCACTCCCTAGTATTTCATAGCCACGACTTTTTCCTACATCCAAAGGGGCTCTTGCCTTCAATCTTGCCCATCATTATCAGCTGAAGTAAATTATATCTGTCATGCCACAGTACATGGCTCAAGTATTCCACTTTACGCTTTTTGACGGTCTGCATGAACTAAGAACGTAGTAATGTGATCGTAAAATATGAAATTATGTTTTGTCATTAAGCATTTACATTTCGGTTTACAAGTTCATTACATGTTATCTTGAAAAACTATAAAAAAAATGATTTAATCCTAAGTAAGTATTGTACTAACGCATTGGACATGAAATACGATTTATGCAACACGAACATGTTTTGTTATTTGCTGGTTTTCTTTTGTGAGTATTATTTTAAATATTAAAATAGTTTTTCGAAGAAAGAAAATGATTTTATATATATAAAAATTCTAAGTTCACGGGAAGTGCCCTGTAGGTTTTCATTCCTTTGCGATTGTCGAAAATTTGCGTAAATTGGGACATAAACGGTTGTATCTTTTGATTGGGTTAGCATAGAATTTTTATTTTTTCACAGCACCTAGCGACCGCAGACCTGAACATTTGATATTCCAGCTTGATACCTTCACGCGTTTTTGAGAAAAAAGGTCTTGACAGACAGACGGACGGACAACAAAGTGATCCTATAAGGGTTCCGATTTTTCCCTATGAGGTAGAGAACCCTAAAAATGAATTTTGAAATATTCGTGGAGATCTAGGGAAGGTTTGAAAGGTGGGAAAAATTGGAATAATTGCCGAGCACTAATTAAGTTTTTTACTCCACGCGGACGGAGTCGCGGGCGACAGTTATTATTTTATTGCTGTAGATTAGTTACCCATTATTTTAAATATACATATTAAATCAATATTTTTAACAGTTTTAACAGGCACATCCCATGAGTATACGTTAAAAATTGAAGGCAACTTTGAAATGGGTGAAGAAATGACAAAATTAGTTAGAGCGATGTATCAAATCTTCCAGAAGAAATCTACTCAAGATAAAATCCAGGATTTAAATCTGAACTTGGGGGATCTACAGGTACAGACCATCAATCATGCGGTGAAACAGGATCAAAATCAGGATGAGGGAATGTTAAATAAATTCAAAGATATGGCCTCCGATAGTAAAATCTACTCGATACATGAAAGTCAACATGGCTACGGAGATGAAGTATTAAATAATATACATTCATTATAGAATTAAACGTATCTCTTAAATATACCTTTATTATTTTCAGACCAGTAAAAAGTTAAAATTTCCCTGGTTTTAAATATCAGTTTTGAAAATTTTCCAAGCTTCTTTGACTAACCGTTGGTTACCGATACCAAAATCTCTGTATGAAACATATCGTCATCCCTCTCATTATCTTAGACAAAACAGAGATAACAATATGATTTAAACGGGGATTAGTCTCAGAAATTCACGGTGTTACAATTGAAGTTTAAACTTTTTTGTGGTACCGTGTAAAAAAATCTTTATAAAAACAACTTAAAAAAATGTTTTTAATCTGTAATTATTTTTTTAATTAGATTGTTGAATATTGTGAGCAGATAATCCTCTTTTTAATATACGTTCAACGAAAGAATTATCATAATTGTTCAAAAACATGCCGTAATTGTTAGAATAATAAAATATGTTACAAAAAGTGTGTATTTACGCTTTATTAAATTAGTATGGAAAGATAAACACAATCAAACAATTCCGCGTTCAGCTTAAAGTGTGCGTGCGTCCTAACATTAATTAGTCCTCTTCCTTTTCCAAACCTTTTTTTACAAGGAACGGTATTTTCAAACCGCTACGACTTAAAGTCCTTCAAGAAGCGAGCGTATCACCATCTCAAAGGCCGGCAACGTATCTGCAGTTCCTCTGGTAATGGTGATGTCCATGAGCATCGATGAACGCCTCGGTGTTCCCGCTGCTAGATTGCACCCTTCTGTTATTAAAAAAGAAAGGGATGAGAAGGGTTGGAGGATTTAACGACTCAGTAAATGCACTATGGACGACACTAACTTTGCTATTTTGGCGAATCAAGTAACCGCTTGCTCGTTTGCCACATTTTGTTATATTAAATATAAAAAGTTACTGTAACATATAATTGACTAGCTGCCGCTAACATCTCAATTCGTGCAGAATTAAAAAAATAATAAGTAGCCTATATGTTCTTCCAGAATATGTTCTACATCTACGCTAAATTTCATCAAGATCCGTTGAGCCGTTCCAAAGATACCTTGTAACAAACATCCTTATTTCTTAACATTCGCATCTATATATATATATAAATATATATATAAAGTCGTGTTAGTTACACTATTTATAACTCAAGAACGGCTTTAACGATATGGTTGAAAATTGGTGAGGAGGTAGCTTAGAGAGGAGAGCTAGGAGACGGACATAGGATACTATTTTACATTTTATTTAACCTACTAATATTATAAATGCGAATGTTTAGATGGATGGATGGGTGTAAGATATCTCTAGAACATAGTCTGAAAGAACACATAGGCTACACTAATGAAGTTTTTTATATATACACGCGGACGGAGTTGCGGACGACAGCTAGTTTATAATATTAGTAAGATAATTGATTTACAATGAAAGTAGATTTTTTTTATTGATAACGCTTTATTTTTTCATTATACAAACGCCAGTGTTGTTACAATTATCAGAATATTTAACTGACATAGCTACTCGAACGGTTAATCAATGCGTGAACTTTTGTAACATACATACAGGATGTCCCATTATTGTATAATAGTATGTTGGAAAATATTTAAACACGCTTTTTATCATATAAGAAATTATGAGTTATTAATATATGATACAGATAATATATGTAAATAAATAAATAAGATTATATCAGTTATTCAATTTAAGAAGTTTCTTAATCTAAATATGGGTTTAAACTGTTGAAACTAAAAAAAACAGGGCTTTATTAAGGCAGAAAATTTCGATAAATTGGCATAAAATATATTTTTTTTCTTACATTTTCGTACTAAACAAAAACTATTTAAATGCGATACAAAAAAATATTCAATATTAAGTATACATCAAAAAAGGCCTGTTAATATGAATATGTAAAACACAATTGTTCAGTTTTTTTGTTTAAAAGGTAATTAAAATAGACTACGTATTTGAATTACAAATATAAGCGTTTATTCATATTAATTGCGTCTAAGTATCTTGATTTTAATAATTCTACTATTATCTCTGAATAGTTATGGGCTTCATAATAAATTTGTGATGTTGCTATATTTAAAAACGCTTATTCCTTCTCAAATGGGACATCTGTATATATTCGTATTTATTTTAATTTGACTTTATTACAATCTTAGGAAATATTTTTCAAATCCACAAAAACCTAATCTAAATAAAACTCACAACTAAGTTTGACATCGCATATGCAATTGCGTATGTCTATGGGTAACGGTCACTTCGCTATTTCAGCGATTTCAGATGGCCGCTCGCTCGTTTGCCACCTTATGATATAAAAAAAAAACTGTGATGGTATTCAATATAACCAAAACATATTGATAAATAAAGGAAAAATAAAAAAAATGAAAAACAAATAATGTTTATTAAAAACGATTTAAAATAACATAACATCGAATATTTACAACAACAAAAAAATATATATTTTCATTGCTACAACTGACACATACAAATATGAATGACGGCTTAAATATAGCTTAGGATAGGAAAAGCAAGAAGCACAATACATTTACAAAGGGAAAATATTATTGCAATTTTTAATCTACAATTCAGATTATAATAAATATCCGTAAACATTCTTGTATTTAAAAAAAAACACGACCATATTACTTGAAAAAAAAATTATGCAAAAAAAAATGTCTTTTTTAGCTGTAAAGGGAGCGTCCATAAATTACGTGAGGTGTTTTTTTAAATGTTCTGCTCCCCCCCAAGGCTAGGTGTCGTGAGATTTTATTCAACCCCCTCCCCCAATCTCACGTGTTATTTTTCATAATGTGAGTTCCTTACGTATTATACGATTAAATGGACCAAAATAGTATATTTTTGTTTTTTTTTTTCAATCACAAATAAAATTGCGTGATCTTTGCCGAGACACCCCCTCTCTCCAACATAAGATTACATGAGATTTAACTCAACCCTCTCCCCCCTTAAACACCTCACGTAATGTATGGACGCCCCCTAATATAGATAACATGGATGCTAAATACAACTGTATGTTTTTTATATCTAAATTATATGAGTTTTTATATTAAATAAACAGGAATAAACTTCTAATCCAATAACTTACGAGATATATTTAAACCCACAATGAGTTTTGTATATGTTATAATTGCTTAGTGTACTTAGCGACGTATGGGGTGCATTTCGTACAAGAATTATTTAAAAAAAAAACTCCTCACCTCTTAAAAACTAATATTTATTAACTAACGTGAATACTAAATTGATTTATTTCTAACAGGAACGGCCATATTAAATTTCTATAGCCAAAATAAATAAAAATGCAAGGTTCTTTAAACGTCAAAGATTAAAAAAAATTCGTTGTCTATGGTTCCAAAATGGTCGCTCCTGTAACGAAATCGCGCCTAAATCTAGTGATTAATGTGTAGGCGTTATGTAAAAAGTTCTAGATAGACATTTTATGAATCCAAACCATCATCCAATCTTCCAAACATTTGCTTTGAGCAGTCGCATGAAAAAAACAATCCACAATTCCTTTTAAATACTAACCTAAAAAGCGAAAATGGCGCCAAAGGAATGACATTTGTTTTTTTTTATTTTTGATGCTATAATCTAGCTTTTAGGAAGAAATATACATTTACGATCGTAACTTTAATTTGAAAACAATTGCTATTAATTATCGTTTGACAAAAATTAAAAAAAAAATGCGAATAGGAAAAATACATGTCAAATGAGATTATTTCTCCTTTTTTAACGCAAATATTCTACTAAAGTTAGGTTTAGGAAATGGAGTTATTTTTCATCGATAAAAATTATTTTATAAAGAAATACATTTTTAAGGATATACATTTGTTATTAAAATTCAAGACGACATCGTATTAATTTGGTGGGCAGAATTAGATAAATTTGAGCTGCCTCACCCTACCTAGTCCGTATAAATTATCATTTTATGTATTTTAAGTAGATAACAATGTTAACTCAATTTGAAAAACTGTTTAGTGTTTGCTAACAAAAATTCTATTTAAGGATATTTTTACTTAAACATCGAATACATTTGTCGATTTAATGAAATTTTAACGTAGATACAAGCACTAAATAATACAGCCAAATAAATACGTGTATAATCGCCACTAGGAACAAGTATACTCGCCACTAGGAACAAGTATACTCGCCACTAGGAACAAGTATACTCGTCACTAGGAACAAGTATACTCACCA